GAAGGCAGATCTAGAGTATTTAGAGTGTCGATAGAGATGTCGGGATATGTATCATTTGGAAGGAGTGTGTCGACACTAAGGGATGTGATAGGAGAGCCAGGAAATTGGTCAAGGATTATTGAGTTCAAGGCCGAAACGGTCTTATTTTTTGGTGCTAGAATAAGGCGTTCAACGAGCCATTGTGGCTTGTGATAGTTTGTTGTAAGAATGGGAAATGTCCAGCCAATAAGGTCCATCGTTCCTCCATGGAGGCACAAGTGAGATGGAAAGGTAATTTTGTTGGGTGACATCGGGTCCGGTTGCTCCAGCTCGCCATTGTCAAGTGTGAGTAACCATTGAGCATATTGTTGGGCTTCGGTAGTGTTATTTAGAGCGAGAACGCACATGTTTTCAGTGAGGTGCATCGTTTGGAAATGTTCCCAAAGCGGTGAAGATTTTAGAGACGCAACAATTGTTTGTGCGCGGGTTCTTTTGGTAACAACAGGTAAGATTTGCCCGAAGTCACCTCCGAGGACCATAACTTTGCCACCAAAGGGTAGGGTAGCAGAGCAAATATCTTGAAATGTCTTGTCCATGACTGCAACTTGATATCTATTTATCATAGGAGCTTCATCCCAGACAATAGTGACCGCCATGCAAATCAGCAAGCGTGCTTTGTTTAGGAATGTCTTGAGTAGATGTTTCGGTTGGTGTTAGTAGAGCTTTGAAGCGGTGAAAAGTCCGACCTCCGGCGAGGAGTGTTGCTGCAATGCCACTTGATGCAACAACTAAAGCAATTTGGTCTTGCATTTGTATATGCGCGAGGATAGTGTTGAAGCAGAAAGTTTTTCCTGTTCCTGCAGGAGCATCAACAAAGAGGCAGAGCGGTTCATTATTTTTCGTAGCGGTCACAACTCGTTGGAATAGTGCATGTTGTGATGGTCGGAGAAGCGAAAGATTGATATCGAGTGTTCTTTGCAGATTTTGTTTGTCATATGATATTTCATCATCAATCAGTCTTGGAAGACCGCTTCGACGTGGTCGTTTTGCGAGGTGGGTTGCTTTGTTTCGGTCAGCTGTGAGCGGTGGGATAAGACCAACGTTTAAGCTCTTTGCCTTCTTTTTTAAGGCGAGCTTCGATATCTAAGAGCAAAAGTGTTCTTAAAATATTTTGTGTAATGTTGGCGCCAGCAAGGTTTCTATGGTAATCGTCCATCATTTGTTCCCAATGTGTTTCAAAAAGTTCGTTAAGATTTGCAGGATTGCAATGTAAAATGATGTGGACGAAAAGATCACGGACCATAGGTGATGGCGATGTGAAAATAGCATCACGAAGGACAGCGTCGAATTGTGTGTTGTCGTTAAGAAGGCTGAGCGCTTTGCATGCAGATTGGAATGTAGGGTGAGTGTGATTGTCGACGGTTCGTAAGTGGGCGAATGTGGTTGCACCGCGGGAGTGTGGCGAAGTGAGTAGCATGGGCAGGTAGAATGTGTCACCTGTGTTTGGATGGATGTTGTGGATACGACCGATTGTGTTTGCTGCACGTCGTCGCAGGACCCATTGTTTACTCGGTTTATCAAATCTGAATCGACGGATCATGTCTTTGTAAAGGGGCTTAGTTTCTTCAGGATCCTGAAGATGTGTAGCATTCCATTCGAACCATGTTGTGAGTTTGGTTTCGGGTGGCAGAGCATGTGCAATTTGTCGAGCTTGTTGTTGCTGTCGAAAATAAACGCGTTGTCGGTTTTTCGTATGAAGCGGAAGCGCGGTTACAGGAGGATATCGTTCAGACACGCCGACGTCGAAAGTTCTCCAACATGCTTCAGGTGCACCAATTGTGCACATGTCTTGATAGGTTTGAATTTCATCGTTTGTATTAAGCGCCTCAACCACTATTGCTTTGTGTGGACCTTTTAAGATGTATTCGAACATTTAGCGACAGGTGATCGTCGATGCATAGATTTCGACATTTATATGGCAGTGGTAGCGAAGAAGGAGATATGGATTATAAGGCACAATCCAAGAGTTGTCGAGCAGTTGATCATGTTGAGAAGCTGTTATTCCTCCATCAGACGGTGCACGACGGTGGTAGATAGGATATCCTGTCTCCTCATTCCATGTTGTTCATTCCGAAAATTCTTTGGGGAAGAATCGTGTGCATTGATTGTTGTGCATGCATGACGTGGCAAGATTGTATATTCCACATGGATTGTGTATCATATGAGTTAAGACGAGTTCGTGCAGTTTCGGATTTTCGGGGATTTCAGCACAAACGATAGTATCGATCTGTTCAGGTGTAGAGATTTTAACATCGTCTTTAAGAATCACAATAAAATGAGCATGTGGTAAGCCACGTTTTTGGAATTCGATAGTATAGACATATGCGGTAGTTATTCCAAAGACGTGAGTCCAGTGGATGTCATGAACGAGTTGTCGTAAGTGTCCTTTGAAGACACGCGCAAGCAAATCATTCCTATGTGCGGGTTGTTGGTTTGGCATGAGTGCGCGTTCAATATGAGGCCAATATGGATTGCAGGTTATTGTGATGAAAAGATCGGGAGCACCCAATTCTTGAACAGCGGCCATTGCATCTTGATATCGTCGATGCATGTCGCGCGGACTACCTGTGAATGAGGCAGGAAGAATAATCCGTTGGCCAATATTTTCTGCGTTGTTGTATAACATAACGTGGTCATGGAGGTTTTGATAGAGATCTGCCCGGATTGCCGCCTGGTGGAAGGGATTGTACAAAAGACGGGCATTCTCAATTTTAGCAAACGCCATATAAACGTACTCTTGAAAAAGACGTGAAGCATGGAAAATTGTGGTTCTTTCTGTATGTCGTGTATTGAGATGGAATGCGTAGAATTCTCGTGCAGTGATATTATGAATATTAGGATCCGCTTGATCATCTTGTTCAACTGCCCATCCATCTTCGCCCGACGGAAAAAACAGGGTATAGTGTAGTGGATCAAATGCCCGGTTCGTTTGTGGAATAGGTAAAACTCCACCCGCACGTCGGCGGATCACAATTTCGCGATTAATGGGTTCGTCATGCATTAGAACACAGAGCTCTTGGAGGCCTTCTGGTCTGTTGTATCTTCGTGCATGTTCTTGTAATGGGCGTACATCCGGATTGATGACAACATGGACATTTTTTAGTGCATGTTCTAGGAATTCAGAGAGAGTAATGAAATCTTGAACCCATCGGTTGCATTGACAAAGTAAAGAATGAAGAGTTCGTAGGAGAGACTTGATGGCTTGGACCGTGGCACGGGGTGTCTTGTGGTAGGTCGAGTCTGTGTAAATGTAAGAGGGTTGCGTAACTGCCATCTTGTGGATCGTGTATATATATTTGGGCAAAGGATGGTGGTTGGTTCTCATTTGGGAGTAGCGGACCGATGTATTGTTGGAGTTGGCCTTCTATTCTTAGCATACCTGGTCAGCGCCCAGCAGGCATCTGGGTTTCCTTAACGGATTGGGATGCAAGGGCAAGTGCTGTATTGAATTGGCGTGCGCGAGATCGTAACAATCTACCATGTCTGCTATCTTTTTCCCATAGATGTAAAATGCTGGCAGCAAGTGTCATTGTGTCGGGATATGTCCAGAGTGGCGGGTGTACTTTGCCACGTAGGCAGCACAGTGATGTCCACGGAAGTTCGTGAGGCCATTTATCCGCTTGACAGTGTGTGCAGGGGGTCCTATTTTCGAGATCAATTATATCGACTGAAACTTGTCGCGCGAATAACGTAGACGTGTGAATGCGTGCATTGTTGATTCGTGGCAGGATATTCTCAATGTGTCTTTGTCTAAAACGTCTCTGCCGTTCTCTGGCTGCGGATCGTGTTCTTTCTATGGCAGTGTGGGAACTTTCGGTCGATGTTGGGAGGACAAAACACAGAGGAGAAAGGATAGAACGTACGAGGTCATCGTGTAGAGCAGGGAGGAATAGGCAAAGGTAAGCAAATATTATCAGTGTGTAGAAAGGAGAAAGGAATACGGAGGAGAAAGCATGGAACATAGAAAACATGAAGACAGAAATGAGAATGATTAGTTAATTCAACCATTTTCTTCATGTGTAATTTTTCTTTCTTTTTTCGTGTAATCGCAATTTTGAGGAAAAAAAAAAAAAAAAAAAGAACATAATTAAAAAAAAGATACACTACACAAATCAACTCACAAAAATATATATATATATATATAACAAGTGAGGGACAAAATAGGACAAAGGTAATTTTGTCCCCCTCCTGCCCCCCCCCAA